GTGGCCCGCGCGCCGCGCTGGCAGGACGTGTCCATGCAGCGCATGCGCACGCTGCACGAGGCGCTGGGCGGGCGGCTGGGCCGCGAGGCGCACTTCGTGCTCTGCATGGACGTGGACCAGTACTTCCGCGGCGCCTTCGGGCCCGAGGTGCTGGCCGAGTCGGTGGCGCAGCTGCACGCCTGGCACTACCACTGGCCGCGGCGGCTGCTGCCGTACGAGCGCGACGCGCGCTCGGCCGCCGCGCTGGCGCCGGGCGAGGGCGACTTCTACTACCACGCGGCCGTGTTCGGGGGCAGCGTGGCGGCGCTGCGCGGGCTGACGGCACACTGCGCGCGGGGCCTGCGGCGGGACCGCGAGCGCGGCCTGGAGGCGCGCTGGCACGATGAGAGCCACCTCAACAAGTTCTTCTGGCTGCACAAGCCGGCCAAGGTGCTGTCGCCCGAGTTCTGCTGGAGCCCCCAGATCGGCCGGCGGGCCGAGATCCGCCAGCCGCGCCTGCTCTGGGCGCCCAAGGAGTACGCCCTGCTGCGCGACTAGGCCCCCCACCGGGCCAGGAAGGGGGCCCCTGAAGCCGTGCGGGCGCCCCGGAGGGCGGCGAGAGCTTGGACGCAAAGAGCCCTGCCCGCTCCGGCCAGGTGCCCGGCCGTGGGATCGTGACGGTGGGAGGAGGAGCGTGGCCTTTGGGGAGCTTCTCGCCGGGAGGGAAAGTTCCCCTTTCCCCCACTTTCAACAGCGACCGACAACGACGCACGCTGAGCTGTAGCGCCTCGGTCAGGCTGCCTCTGGACCTTTCACCTCTGACCTTACTGGATTCGGCTGATGCCTCCTGAAGGGCTGTTTTAGCCCCCGTCACCCACCGCCACCCCCAACCCCCTTTTTGATGAGACTGAGACGCAAAAAGGGAACATAACTGCCTAAGGACACAGAATCTGTGAGTCAGTCTGGGCAGACGCTGCAGAGCCAGGACTGGCCCTCACTCCGAAAAGACAGTAGCCTCTGGGCGAACAGGAGAAAGCTTCTGCTGCAGGAGAAACGTGGTGGCATCCGAGTCCTTTGCTTTGCCCTTCCACCTCCCCCGCCCTCAAGCATAGTTTGTACATATTTAAGTAATATTGTAATAAAATTATTCCAAAAGTGTCTTTATGGTCCTCTCTCCTGGGCAGTGTCCACAAAAAGGACATTTCCTTGATGTGGGACCCATAGGGCTGTCTGGGAGATGTTTCCTTACCCAAGACTGCTATCCAGAGTCTTCATCCTCCCCGGGGGGGCACAGGCTCTGAACAGGAGGTGAACTCATCAGGCCCTCCAAGGAGCCAGGGAAGGCAGCAGCTGGAAGCCCCTGAGCTGTCTTCTGACACCTGGGAACACTGAGGCCCTGGGAGGGTGGGATTTCACCCCAGGTCCCCTGAATCCTTTATGTGATGTTCTCAAAGACCTTGCCTTAATAGCCTCCACTGTTCCTCTGAAGGACAGCAATTCCGGCATAAATCAATCCTGATGGTTTTTACAATCTGATCATCTTTACAAGCAGATTCCACTTAGTGATGATGTGACCTAAGAGATCTCTGCCCTCTCAAAAACAGTTTGAAGTTCCTCAGTGCCTCCCACCCGAACTAGATTAGCAAAACCCAGAAGGCCATTTGGATTCTGGATGAGACCTAAGAACAGGCTAGGTGTGCCTGAGAACAGGTTATTGCTTGATGACTTTGAGCTGGCACATCCCTTCCTCTGGCGCGCATGGTCCTCCACCTGACCCTGCAGTATTCACCGACGGCCACCCACACCGACCGTCACCACCCCCAGGGGTCAGGAGAGACCTGAGCACGAGCTAGTAAGATCTGGGTGGGAACCTGCTCCTCTTCTCACTCTGCTTGTGACTGTGGACAAGTCCCTTACCTTTGCTGAGTCTCTGTTTTCTCCTGTGTCAAGTGGGGACGCCGATCACCCTCCTTGCAGAGGTTGTGGTGCTCCAGAAAATGTAACTTGCCTTCTCCCTCTCCTTGCTTGCCCCTTCTCCAGCAAGTTCATAGTGCAAAGGCTCTGCCAAAAGAACAGCCATTTCCTGTCCTACAGAGGAAGTCATGGCACAGGCAGGGGTCTCCAGATGCTAGGCCGGGGCAGCCGCACGCTGTGGGTGGAGACCTTCCTGAGGATGCGGAAGGGTCAAGGAAGCTGCAGTGTGGAACACATGACCTCTTTTGAGTGTCTCCCTCCTTCGTCTTACCCAGAGGCCCTCGTTGGGGCTGGGGGCATTAGAGGGACTTGGGGCAGAAGAAGAAGGTGGGGCAAAGCTCTTTCTTCAGCCACTTCCATCCGGATCACTGTCAATCAACACTGTCCTCAGCACCTGCTGGGGGCCTCAGAGGCCTCAGAAGCTCCTGAGAGCTTCCAGGCGAGCAGATGAAAAGCAGACTGCCAGTCCTTTGAGTGTCGCTCCTACATGTCAAATCTTCACCTACCCCCGCTGCCCCACCCTGGCCAGGCCAGCTCAGACGCCACCCCCAGAAACTGCCAAACATCATCAGCTCTCTAGTCGGGAGTTCACTGATCATAAGGGACTTAGATCGAACAGAGCCACATCAAATGGTAACAGTCACAATTACATTTACTGGTACTTAACTATGTACTGGGCACCGTTCTAAGCATTAGACATATATTGACTCATTTAATCCTCACATCCACCCTACAAATTGGTTACTACTATTTCCCTCATTTTACATATGAGAAAATCAGGCACAGAGAGGTTACGTTTGTAACTTGCCCCGTCACACCGCTAGCAACTTAAACTCAACTGATGTGCGAACAAGCAGGAAATGAAACCTGGCCAGGAGATGGAGACGGAAGTCAGGGACGGAGTCTGACACAGGCTCTCGGTCTTCTCTGTCCATCTCTGCTTCTGTCTGCCCCTGTCCTGCTTGTGTCTGGCCCGACACACATCCCAACCCCTGGACCACACGGTCTTCCAGTTCAGGAGTCCACCATCTCCTAACTTATTCCTAATCCATGGACTGGCGAAGCTGATCGGAGCGTCAGCCCGCGGTGTGCTGGTAAGCGTTTAGCAACTGGCTCTTGCAAGAAAAAGCAAGCCCCCCTTTGTAGCCTTTGCCAGTTTCTGTTGCACAAACCCCACTACGGCTGATTCCGAACCCCATTCACTGCATGTGGAGTCAGGAAGAGGTGTGCCCAGTCCACTCTCATGAACCAGGACTGCCAGTACACGCCAGTGGTGCCCCTGGTAGCCGCGGTCTAAGGCTCCAGCGGCGGAGTCAGGCGTCCACCACTGGCCGATCAGCTGTGGCCCGGATCGGGTCATGTGGGATCCGGGCGGCTGCCGGAGCAGAGCAGGCTATGGGAGGCCGAGTTCAGAGACAGCAAGGAGGCCTGTGAAGTTACCCAAAACATGTTCCTGGCTACTCCACACCCATCTCCCCCTCCCGACGTTAACACGTCTGGTTTCCTTTTGGGGAGATGTACTACAGATTGGGGTTTCACCCTCTGCTCCAGGCTTAGAGCATGGGTTCTAGGTCTCAGCCAATCAAGTACAGACATTCCGGCCACAGTGATTGGTTCGGGGATGGTACCTAGCCAGTCCCAATCACAGCTCCTTTATGGAAGATTTTCCTGGAGCTTCTGGGAGAAAGACAGAGGCTTGACGGCTGGAAATCTGGGGCCTGTGAGGCTGGAGCTGCCGACCCCACAGGAGCCACAGGTTGAAACCGACTCTGAGAACAAAGCCAAGTGGAGAGCTGGAGACACCACTGGGCCCTGAGGCTGGCCTGACACCTGCACTGTCCTCGTATGTAAGCCAATAAATCCTTGTCTGGATTGGGCTTTCTGTCACTTGCAGCCAAGTCTTGACACCCAAGGCCTGTGAGGACTCGGAGTGAATTCCTGAAGGTGAGCTCCACGGTGACTCTTGGTAGAGTCACATCTGTCTCTAAGGATGCCCAGCAGAGGACCAGCCTTGATAAACTCTGGGGGAGTTAACTCCTGCATTTCCCTCTCAGGCAATCAAAACACTGACCCACATGGGGAAAATGGATGTGAAGGGGGCTTCTTGGTTCCCTCAATCACTGGAATTGCTTCCACAAGTCCGGGCACTCATAATGGACCCCCAAAGGTGGGCAGGGTAATATGGATGTGGCTGCTCCTCTGGGAGCGGGGGCTGTAAACCTCACCGGTGGACCCCATACATCCCAAAAGGCCTCACTCAGAATGAGACAAACCTGGGTGAAATCTGCGTTCCTGCCACTTAATTGCAACATGATCCTCAGCAAAAAAACAAAAAACAACAACAAAAAAACCCTCTTGGTTTGCTGCCGCCCTCACAGGGAGCTGTAGGGTAACCAACAACCAAGCACTCAGCTCAGCAGCTGGGGTGAGGCCAGCCCGCAGTAAGGGGCCATGTCCCTTCTTCCCCAAGTCTGGGGGGGGGCGGGGGAGGGGAGAGGAGCAATGGAAAGATGCCCCCCAGCCCCGCCCTCGCACAGAGCACGTCACACACCACCGCCACCCAGGTGTGGGTACAGTTTATTCTTCACAACAGAGAAATACAAAGAGCAGAGCGTTTGGAATTCCTTTGTTTCTTGCTCCGTTTAGTGTCTACCCCACGTTCGATTTTTATTTTGCTCCCCACCCCTTTTCTTAAATATAATGCAAACTTGTTTCCTGAAGCACTGAGGGGCACGTGCCCTCACCTCCCTGCCACCAAGATGCAGACCGAGAAGCCAACAGACTGTTTTCTCTTTTTTAATAAGGTAACTAGTTCTAAATATGGTGGCCTGGAGGTCCCATAGAAAAAAGCAAATGGGGTGTTAACAGTATGTATAACAGCGTATTTACAGGGTAGTAACATGCGGACGAAAAGCTACAATACTGAGTTATCAGACGACGCAAGTCAAACAAAGGGGTGGGGGTGGGGGCAGAGAACCCCATGGGGAAAAAAAAAAAACCCAGGAAACGTTAAACTGGTAAATCAATGGCGAGTTAAGGCTTAAAAAGTGTATAAAAATAACACAGTTAATATTCAAAACGGAACTCCAGATACAGAATATATAGATGAGTTTCTGTCTAGTTTTCTTTTTCTTTTTTTTTTTTTCCCGGGGGATGAAGGGGGGGCTTCTCCGGGCTCTGTACATAGTTCCTATATACACGGACACGCATGGCTTTCAGATTGGGGTGTGTCTGTGGGGGCTGAGGGCAGGGTATGCTCCTGGGACCCTCCTCCCCGAGGATCCCTTCCCTGCTGAGGGGCCTAGGGCTTGGACTGGGAGTTCCCCCTCCATGACAGGGAAGACAAATAACCCCTCCCTGGGCACTGCCCCATCTGGAGGAAATTCTGGAGGGGGGTGGTCCTAAGCCCAGGCCCACTCCCTCCCCACCCCCCTGCCCACAGTCTGGGATGGTGGGAGAGGTAGCCAATAGGTTTCCTGGCCAGCACCGAGGTAGACTGGGGTGGTCTTCAGGGCAGTGGAGGGCCAGGTCTTACCCAGCCCACCCTCACCCCATTTCCCTGGGCCTGCGCCCAGCCCAGCCCAACGCTGCACCCTTTGGTCCTGCGGATCTCCCGGCCCCTCTCTCATTTTGCCTCCTGAAGCCTGGGCAGCCTTGGGAGCTGCCGCATCCCTCTGCTCAGTAATGCCCAGGGCGTAGCTCGAGAGGTGTGAGCTGGGCACCTAGGGGTGAGTGGCTCACTCCAGCTGCCTCCTGTCCCCTCCCACCTGGGGGTCCCCTTTGCAGTCCAGAAACTCAGGCCTGAGCCTTCCCTCAAGACCTGAGGCTGTGGCAAGAGAAGGTCCCACGCTGCCCTCTGGTTCTCTGTGTCCATCTGTCCGATTCTTTTAATTTCTCGGTCTTAGCAGCACCAACTTCTTGGCCAATAAATATCTTTTTTGTTATTTCCAAAACAAACTTTAAAAAACAAAACAAAAAAACAGTGAAGCAAGTGGAGGGTGGGGAACAAAAAGAAACCCAACAGAGAGGTTCAAAGTGCTCTGAGATCGTCTTTGGATGCCACCAAAACAGTCCAGAATCTTGCAGTTGGCCTGGCCGCCCCCGGAGCTGGACCGGGCAGGGCTTCTGCAGCCCAGGCTTTCTGGAAGGTCAGGAAGGTCATGAGAGAGCTCGGCTGTTCCTGGAGGGCCCCTGGAGGAAGTTGGGGCCTGGTGCTGCCTGGGTCTGTGTCTGCCAGTGGGCAGGGTGGGGCGGCGCCTTGGGTCGGCTCAGATGAGGGAAATTCGCACCGGGATGCCGGGGGACTCCGTCCTCTGGGGCGAGTGGTGGCTCACCAGGTGCTCCACCACCGTGTGTTTGGACATGTGCTTCATCAGGTAGGTCTCCTGTGGGCAGGGGTGAGATTCAGGACATGTAACCAACCAACCATCGGCAAGAGACGCAGGGGAGGCTGCAGTTCCCACAAGTGTCCACTGGAGGGCTCCTTGGTAGGTGGGCCAGCTCATGGTGAGCAGGCCCGGCTCTAGGGCATCAGACGGGCAGGGGGCGGTAGTTCTAGCGATGCAGAATCGCCACCGGGGGTGGATGCTGGTTCGTTTCCCACACTCTGAGCCCACACAGCATGCTAGCTGGACAACTGGATGGCAGCGGGCTCGTCCCTCAGCAGTGCCCACCTGGACTTCTCTAGGGCCAGGCCAACAGGCTGTACTCGGGTATGCTGGCTGAACCTCCGCCTGCCTTGGGGATCGAGCATGGCTGCCCCCTTCTGGATGGTGCTCCAGCGAAGGAAAAGCAGGAGGCCTTGGTCTGAGCTGGGTTCTGCCATCTCCTAGCAGTGGGACCTCAGACGTGTCATCTCCTATGTCCAAGGCTGTTTCCTCCTCTTGAAGGCACAACCTCAGAGGGTTGCTATGGTGGACCGAGCTCCCAGCATGCGGTACGGGTTGAGGGGACTGCTCCTTCCCTGGTCTCTACACTGCATTCCAGGTGATGGTGGGAGCCCCAGCCACTGCAGCCACCCCCCACCCCCAACGTGATCCTCCCTGGGAAGAAGCTGCACCTGACAGGACTGGTGACTTGCAGAAGCAGAAGCTGGGCATGCTCGGCTCGCCCCTTGAGTGCCAAGTCTGACCCGAGGCACCCACAACTGGGTGGGTGAGGTGACCCAAAGGCTCACCTGCAGGCCCAGAGGCCCCCACACTCAGCTGGGAGGAGGTGGAGCACCTGGTGAGCCACCACTTGCCCCCCAGGACATAGTCCCCCAGTCTCAAATGTCACTCTGCTCAGAATCTGGTAGTGGAAGCCCTCAAATGTGGAGGCAACATGCTATCAAACAACACCCGAGGGAAGCCATCAGCAACGTCCAAACTAGGAAACTATTCTTCAGTGACTACACTGCAAAGGAAAAAAAGGCCCGGGAGGGGGGACAGGGTGGGGATCAACAGATTAAGAGATCTATTGCTTGGGTGCAACGTGGGGATCTTATTTGGATCTCGATGACAAAATCAAATTGTAAGTAAATAAAATTCTGGCCTTCCAGAGACAAAAACGTGAACACTGACTGGGTATTTGATGATATCAAGGACTTATGGTGAACTGTAAAGATATTGTGGGTATGTCCAGAAAGAGGAGTCCTTGTGTTTAGAGACACAGTGAACATTTTCAGATGAAACAATATAATGTCTATTTTACTTCAAAAAATAGGGATATGGATGAGGCAAGACTGGTTGACGGTTCTGGGGGCTAATGGGAACATGAAGGTTCACTATTCTACAGTTGGTTAAAGTAGTTTAAAATTCAATCCATTTAACTGTTTTTTGTTTTTTGTTTTTTAAATAAAAGGTATGTTGGGGGGCCTGGCTGGCTCAGTCAGTGGAGCCTGTGACTCTTGATCTCAGGGTCATAAGCTCAAGCCCCACACTGGGCACAGAGCCTACTTAAAAAAAAAAATACGTCAACTTACTTTAATTAAAGCCAAAAATAAATGAAAAATAAAGGTAACTATTCTTGTTCTAGAGAGTCCAGTTGAGGCCGCGTTCAGGATGGGGCCGCAGGGACACTCCCTGCCCCCAGAGTTCAGACAGACTCCATCTAGAACTATAGCCAGTAAATGCCGGTGGCCCCTCCCCTAGGAGCAGGCGTGAGGAGGCGGATGTCGAGAACTTGAGGCCAACACCAGCCGAAGGTCAGCCAGCTAAGTGGGGCTCCTAGGTCTCTGTGGTGCCCCACCTCGCCCCTTGGGACCTATTCCCTGCAGGTTCTGCCCTCTGTCTTTCACTTCTCCTCTGCCCTTCAAACTCCAGGGAAGGAGCAGTGTGACGAACCCAGCACCCAGCAAACTGTAGGCCTGGCTGGCACCTGACATACCGCTGACCACCCAACGTGTGCCCCCTCCAGTCAGTGACCTTTCAAAATACCCTCGCAGACAATGGCTTCCCCCCAATGGCTTCCCGCTCCACCTGGCACGTATCCAAACTCCCTAACAGGGCCTCACAGCCCCGTGTGACCTAATTTTCCTTCCACCTCAGGGTGTTTGCACTCACCGTTCCCCTGCTTGGAAGGGTCTCACTCTCCTTACCCTTCAAGGCTCCATTGAAATATTGTTACCCCCTCAGTCAGCCTACCCAGACCTGCGTCCCCTTCCCAAATCCATTCCAGCCTCCCCGCTGCTTTATCAACCTATGGTCCTTCAGCCCAGTGGTTCTCAGTCAGAGGCGGCTCCACCCTGGCCCCAGGACATTTGGCAACATCTGGAGACATCTTGGGTTGCCAGAGCTCAGGGAGGGGGCTGCTAGTGAGCAGAGGCCAAGGACGTTGCTAACATCCTATAAGGCACCGGGACAGCCCCCCAGCGAAGGTACCCTGCCCACATGTTAGCATGCCCTAAGGCTGACAAACCTCCTTAGAGCAATTACCACTATTTGTCATTCCATGTTTATTTGGTGGTTACTTGTTTAATATCTGTCTCCGGCAGTAGACTCCAACCTCCCTGGGGGCAAAGAATGTGTCTTGGATTCATCCTGATGCCCAAGCGCCTGGCACAAATGTTCAGTAAACACTGAGCGAATAAACAATGGTGAATTGGCGGACATTTATTAGGCACTGACTGGGCCGGCCAACAGCCCTGTGAGGTAAGAACAGTTACCTCGTCCGTTTTACAGATAGGGAAATTGAGGCTCAGTGATTTTTTTTGAGGGGGGGGTTTACCTGGGGCTCTGTTAACCAGGATATTTCATTAACTGAACACACACACCTAAGTGACTTGCTGGGCTCCCTCTTGTGGGTGCTGAAAGGATTCTGCTGCAGGAAAATTCCCACCCAGGACGGGGCTGGATGAGATGACTTACTGTGCAGGCCTTTCCTGAGGTGAGGCAGCTCTGGGCCGAGTCGCTGTGCCCCCTTGTGGCCAGGATGGGGGTTGCAGCTTCCCCAGTGGAGAGGCCCCTCCCCTCCCTGGCTCTGGAGAGCAGAATGCCTGGCCCCCCACCACTGCCTTGAGTGTTCCAGGGCCTGGAGGAAACCACGCCTGGGAAAGCCAGGCTAAAGGCCGCCAGGAGGCTGGGAACTTGGCCCAGGGCAGCCAAAAACAGAACTGGGAAGCCGAAGCGCTGGCCCAGCCAGCCACTCATCGTGATCTTGCGGGGTCACTTCCCCTCTCTGGGCCTCAGTTTCCTTGTCTGGAGAATGGGGAGAATCAATACAGATCTGATGAGGAGAAGGCTGAGGCCCAGGGAGAGGAAGAGGCTCCGCAGGGACCCCAGGGGCCCCAGGCACTCACCGAGGTGTAGGCCCGCCCGCACATGCTGCAGCAGTAGGCCTTGGCGTGCTTGATGGCGTGGGCCGAGAGGTGGATCTGCAGGGAGGCGGAGTCCGAGTAGGCCCGGTAGCAGTTGGGACACTTGTAGGGCTTGTCCTTGTTGTGCTGGCGCTGGTGAGACTGTGGGGAGCACAGCAGGGAGTGAGGAGCCAGGTGGGGCTCCCCCAGCCCCACCCCCACCCCCTTCTGCTCCCTCTGCAGGGGGGCAGGCAAGAGGCAGGCAAGAGGCAGGCTGGCACTCACCTGAAGGTTGGAGAGCTGAGTGAAAGCCTTTTCGCAGCCAGGATGTGGGCACTTGTAGGGTCTGTCGCCTGTGTGGATTCTGCAATGGGCAGCCCAGTGAGGTGGAGTCCCTGACAGACAACCCGGCCAGCTCCAGCCCCCAAGGCCTTGGATGGCCTGCACCATATATCCAGCTCCCAAGCCTCCCAGTCTCCACTCCCCACACTCTCCAGAGAGCACCTGGCAAGAGCTTCTTCTTCTCCTTCCTCCTCTGGTCTCCCAGTCTGCCAGTCTGTGACCAGAGTCCTCCTGCTCCCCACAGGTCCCTGCTGAACCCAACTCACCACCAGCATCCACTCAGAGACCTGGCCCAAACCTCCAGCTAAACAGCAGGGGCTTGCTCAGATTGCTTTCTGTCCCTCTCTTCTTCAAAACCCACCCGCAGACCACCGTTGAAAAGAACACAGATCCACCACTTTGCCAGGAACTTCCCTGTCCACCTTGCCTCTTTCCCTCAGAAGGAAGCCTCTCTCTCTAATTGGCCCCCAGTTTCTGTCTCCTGCCCTGTCCCCACATCAGAGACATGTCTAGGATGGTAACCTGGTCACCCCAGCTACCGAGAGAATGCAGGACAGGGAGGCCCTGCAGTTCAGCCCCTCTGCCCCCTCCCATTCCTGGGTTCTCATCCTGGCTCCACCTTCTACTAGCTTGGTGACCTGGGGGGAAAAAACCACCAAGCCTCAGTTTGCTCATCTGCAAAATGGGCATAAAAATATGCTCAGAGGCTTTGCTGAGTGTTGGCACAAAGTCAGTGCTCAGGAAACACCTGCAATGTTTATTACGTGGGGCAATGTACCAGGCCAGGCACCACGCTCGGTACTTGGAGTGAACAAAACAGACAAAAACCACTGCCTCGTGGAAACAAACAACAAACATGAACGAAGTAAGTAAATCCCACGTAGAATGTAGTAAGTGCTGTGAGAAGAAAATAAATAAGGTGGGGGGAGCATGAAAGCCCTGTGTGTGTGTGTGTGTGTGTGTGTGTGTGGCAATTTTAAACAGGGTGGTCAGGGCCAGCCTCCCCGGGAGGCTGACTCCAGAGTGATGCTGCTGGCTGTATTTTCTGTTCAAGTCTGTGGCGCTGCTCATGCTTGTCTGACAGGCCAGGTGAGGACGGAGCTGGGCCCAGACGAGGTGCCTGGCACACGTGTGGGAGCCCCGTCCTCCACGCGAGCCTCCCACTATCAGCCTGCACTTGTCTCCCGCCACCTGTCTGGCAAACCCTCTCTGCCGAGCAGGTGGGCAGCAGAATGTTGGCTGGCCTGAACCTTGTTTGTCTCCTTTGCCGCTGAGCGTCAGGTGGAGGGAGAACCCGGCCCTGGCCGCTCGGTGTAGGTTCCCTCCCCTAATGCCCCAGGCCACCTCGCTGACTGGGCTGCTCTGCCCGTCAACCCGCTCACCAAACAAACTAAGGTCCCTGTCGCAGCAGGCCTCGTGCCGGATGGGCTGGAATAAAGAACCGTCCCTGCCATCGACAAGACGTTGGCTGCCCGCTATGAACACGGATAGGGTCTGGATTCCTTAGTGTGTCACTCAAGGCCCTTCACCATGTGCTCTGGCCTCCCCTCGCCGCTCCTATGCACGCTCCATCCTGGTTGGAGAGCCATTTCTCATCGGGCAACCTCGTCTGACTGATGATCCTGCCCGCCACGCCCGTGCCCCTGCTGCACCCTCGGCAGGGGAGGCTGCCCCTCCTGTCTCCTCTACGAGACAGGGATCCGAGGGCAAGCACAGGGCCCAGGCTCAGGTGCAAGGCCAGCCCCGCCCACAGGCTGCACAGAGACCTGCCAAGTGGAGCTGGGCTGGCCTGGTGTTGAGAACCCATATTCTACCCGCACAATTCTGGGTGTCAGCCTCAAAGACGGGTCATGGACATAGGGAGTCATGGACTGAATGAAGGAAAGCGAGTTCCTTCTCTCAGGTCAGTCACTGTCAACAGTAGTGTGCTCAACATAACCAATGCCATCCATACCGCACGAACATTTATTGACCGACTGACTGAGCACCTTCCAAAGGACTTTAGCTTCTTCCTCAGGGACCCAGCCAAGCCCTCTTGAAAGGGAAACTGCCCTCCGGCCTCCTCCGGTCCAAGTGTCATGGCTGCCTGGCCTCCTCCCTGGCCTCCATCCGCCACTGCAGCAGTGTGGGAATCCGACCTTGTCGTGGCCCTGCCTGGCAACCTCCATAGTCTCTCCCTTTTCCAAACCCCGTGCCCCGGCATTTAAGGCCTTGGTTTCTAAAGCCTCCCCCTCCACCACTGCTCTCCCCAGCATGGCATCCTTCCAACTTCCCCGCAATGTGCATGCATCCCCCAGGAGGCCTCCGAGCCTTTGCTCATGCTGCTGCCCCATCTCTAGGGAGGGCTACGGACCCCTCAATACCCGACCCCGATGGTCCTCCCCCACATCCCCCACCTACTTCACTCTTTCGTGGAAGTTTCCACACCCACCAGCCTCCCAGGTCACAGTGGGGTGCCTCTGGGCCAGAGCCTGCCTCTGGCCACTGATCCGCCCTTGTGTGTGCCCCCCAGCACTGGGCTGGCTCCAAAGGGGCACCGGGGAGTGCCAGCTGGGTGAACGGGGGGCCAGGCTGCATGCTCCCAGTGACACTGAGCCCCAAAGCTCTTCGGTCCCTGACTTGCAAGTCAGGACCAGGTCCTCAATTCCCGCATCAGAGTCCTGTCCTTGCAGAGCATCTTCTCGGTAGGGGAGCACCCAGCCCTGGCTCCCACAAGTGCGGTGAAGGGGAGCTCACCATGGACCCCAGGCGACACAGGGAAGCCGAGCTGCAGCACAGGGAAGCCAAACTGAAATCGGGGCCCCTGGACGGCCCCACCCCCACCTGGGGCCCCAGACACTCGCTCTGCAGTGCCAGGCACCCCCGCCCAGCCGAGCTTCTCCCACAGCCTCACGGCCACAGCCCCTTCCTCCCTCTGAGGCGCAGGAGAAGGGTCCTGGGATAGAGCCCCACATCGGACTCCTGCTTTTCTTTACTTGCTGTGTCTTCCCTTCACAGAAGGAAGTCCCACCAGAATGCTCCAGCTCCCAGGAACCACATTACCCCCAAAATGCTCCCATCTTTCTCAACAATCAGAGTAATCTTGCTCAACCTGTTTCTAAGTCCATTTCTATTACGTGACCAGGGCTGGGTCAGTCTTGGACATGATCTTTTATTCCAGTCATTACTGGCAGTCACCCTTGAATGACAGATTTGATTAGATGCCCTGACTGGTTCTCCGTGAAGGAGCAAAAAGCAGGAAGGAGTCTCCGTGGAATGGGAGAAAACAAGGAACCTGGAATCTGGTTGTTTCTTTGCATTTGGCTTTTTTTGTTTGTCTAACAGATTCTAGGACTTCTGGGCATGTGGGACACCCACCTCTTTGTCACTGGGTTAGGACACATTGGTTTAATTATAGGTGCCACTGTCTACTGACTAATCATTTGTCTCTAATGTTAACAGGACCCTCTTATGTTGCTTGTTTCGTTTCCCACCATTATGCACTCAAATCACTCAAGAGGAAAAAAATGTGTGTCTTCAGGAATAGAGAGCAATCCCTGGATCAGGAAATATCCTCCTTCACGGGCCAGTTAATTTTTTGTTGCTGTTTTGGTCATGGTCTTGATTAATATTTTAAAACAAAAGTTTCTTCTGAAAAAAGCTAGGGATTCTTTTTTCTTAAGATTTTATTTATTCATGAGAGAGAGAGCACAAGAGAGAGCACAAGCAGGGGGAGGGGCAGAGGGAGAGGGAGAAGCAGGCTCCCCAGCAAGCAGGGAACCCAACAGAGGGCTCGATCCCAGGACCCTGAGATCATGACCTGAGCCAAAGGCAGACGCTTAACCGACTGAGCCATCCAGGCACCCCAAAACTATGATTCTTCATACTTATCACTACTTGCTACGGTGTTTATTTTCTATTAGACCGATGTTCAGACCTTGCCTAGGCTGTCCACTTAGTGCCCTTAGCCTTCTCAAATCCAGGCCCCACATCAGAATAAAGTTATCAAAGTATCTTTTACACCCAAACGCTCTTGGCCTTTCTAGACGGCCACCAGGCAACACCAAAGATTTCCTTCTTTGCTTTATAAGAAGAGTGGTGCTCCAAATGATCGAGCCTTTTGTATTTTCTATATTTCTAATTAGCAAACATTAGAGCGAGAGCTGTTCTATGAAGATGCAAGTGTAAGAACGTTGGCAAATCAAAAGAAGAGACACTCAGGAGCGCCTGGGTAGCTTAGTCAGTTAAGCGTCCAACTCTTGACTTTGGCTCAGGTCATGATCTCAAGGTTGTGAGATCGAGCCCTGTGTCAGGCCTCGTGTCAGGCTCCGTGCTGGGTGCGGAGTCTGTTTGGGATTTTCTCTCTTCCTCTCCCTCTGCCCCTCTCCCGCCCTCCCTCTCTTAAAAAAAAAAAAAGAAGAGACGCTCGATCTCCCTGTATTAATTTTATATTTTATGTGTACACATATATACAGAAAATGTCTTATATATTTATATTTATTTTATATATATGATTATATGTAATTTATACAAATATACAGTATATCATATAGAATTATATATGCTATATAATATAAATATATATATTTGTGTCCTTTGTTAAAAAAATCTTTCATTTATTTGTCAGAGAGAGAGAGAGCATAAGCAGGGGGGAGGGACAGAAGAAGAGGGAGAAGCAGGCTCCCCGCTGAGCAAGGAGCCTGATGCAGGACTCGATCCCAGGACCCTTGGATCATGACCTGACCGGAAGGCAGACGCTTAAAAGACTGAGCCACCCAGGCATCCCAATTTGTGCACTTTTTTTAAATGGAGACAAAAAACCAGTAATTTATTTTCAGGTACAATAAAAATCAAAAGAAATGTCCTTAAAGAAGTTTTTTCTACATTTAACTATACTTATCAATTAGTGACAGTCCTAACACGTGCTTTAGGAGATAAAGAGCCCGAAGATGGGTCAATGCCCTTGCTGCCTAAAATACATTCTTAATCTGTAAAATTGATCATGCATTCTATTTTAAGGAAGACTCCATTCTCCTCCATTCTGACATTGTTGATTGTTACAATAAATGTTTATTGTTACGATAAATGGACCAGTCATTCAGGCTTACCAACACTTCCCTGTCCCACCTGCCTAAAGACCTCTGCTTCAGGTCAGAAGTCCAGTCTTCCAAAGAAGACATCAAGAGATTATGGCCTCAGTAGAGGACTGTAACACGTGCACTTGGCTCTCCAGACTCCAGGGAATAGATGAATGCACGCGGCCTCCACCCTGATACCATCACCTTGACCAGACACTGCCTGAGGCCAAGGCAGGATCCGAGAGAGTCTGCAGTCCAGAAGCAGCCAACTTGGCAGACCGGACGAACTACCCAAGGTCAGCAGAACAGGTATTAGGACCTCGAACCGAATGAAAGTGATTTAAGTGGGGTTCATTTCTATTTCCTAAAGGGGATATGAGAAGACCTTTTTCTTCTTTGATCTACACCTCTAATCCTCAATTTAGGAGGCTATATTTGAACCAGGAATAAAATATTCCTTAAATGGTGCCTTTCCAACTAACCCTTCAGAATTCTGGGGGAGGAGGGAAACTATAAAATTTAACATAGATATAAACTCATGAATTATCAAGGAAATTTTAAAATAATAGTTCTATTGGGGCACCTGGGTGGCTCAGTCGGTTGAACGTCCGACTCTTGATTTCAGCTCAGGTCATGACCTTGGGGTTGTGGGCCCCGGGTCAGGCTGTGCACTCAGCGACGAGTCTGCTTCTCTGCTTGAGGATGCTCTCTCTCTCCCTCTGCCCCTCCCTCCCCCACCTGCTCCCCACTCTCTCCCTCTCTCTAAAATAAATACATCTTAAAAAAAATAATAAAATAACAGTTCTGTTGAAAACAGTATGTTACTGGCCCCGCCTACAAAACTGCTCAGAACAATTGCCGACAAATACTCACAGTGCCTTCCCTGGGGTCATCTTCTCTTATGGCCGTTAGGTTGGTAAATAGGGTCAGTAAGAATCTGTCCTCCTTCCCAACAGGGTATAATTGGGTAAATCAAATTTGTAACCATGACCATGCCAGAAATGTCACATTTAAAAGACAAATTTCATTTAATTAGGCATGACAAGCCTGACAGTGAAACACAAGGACCATCCTTCCCACGTGGGATGTGGCCTCCGTCGGAAGCTGCGCAGGATCTGCTCCCTGGCTTGTGGATTCCCAGCCTTTAAGGTTACAGAAAACGTTACTCCTGCCAGTCTGAAACGCTGACAAACGGGGATTCTGCAAAAAGAAGGCACCCTTCCCATTACAGGCTATGTAGGTACCACCTGACAAGACTGACCTGCATGGTTCGAGGTTTCTGGTCTTAGATAATATCCTAAGAAATTTTTTCACACACACACATTAAAATGATGACCCAGGGGTTCCGCGAAGTCTCCTGATAAAAGTTAGCTCTGAAGCCTTAGCATCATGTGCTCTGATTTTAATAGCCATACAACCAGCAAGACTTTGTTTATTAATCATCACCTCATTACATAGGCCTGTGTCCAGAAAGCTGGCCAAACTTAAAAAAAAAAAAAAAAAAATCAAAGCAATGACAAACATCAGAAAATTGCTGGAACAAAATGCTATGGTCCGATCCTTATGCCTCAGGAGGCAAAGGACCGAGGGAACGGACAGAGGCCCTGTCCTGCTCGCACTCTGCCATTGCTCTCTTACAATCAAACCTGCGCATTCTGCCTCCGAGTCCAAGAACTAGACAAACAAGGCATTCCGCGCCCCGTGATAAAGCCTACCAAGACAATGGGCATATCCAAATAAATCACAACAGTAACAACAATTTTAAAAAACCCTAAAAGGAAAAACTAGGGTCTGTCTCACATCAGTCCCCCAAAGAGAGAAAACTTGATCTCTTCCGGCAAGTTACAAGCTCCACAGCAAAAACAACGGTATCCTTGACCTTCACAAAGCTGATATGCCAACACACAGCAGCGCTCACAGACATGATTGTTGGTGGGGGGAAAACTGCTGTGTTTCTCTCTGAAGAGATGAACTGCAATCTTGGTAACCTTTGGTTTGTTTCTTTAAATACCTATGGTATTTTTATTTGCAGTGGCGAGTCAGCCTTTCTGATGTCTGTACTCCCTTGCAAAAACCTGTCTTTCCTTAAAGCATTTATATTTCTGAATCTTTCACACAGTCCACTAGATCATATGCCTATGAGGACAGGGATTTTTGTCTGTTTTGTTCACCTGCTGTGTTCCCAGCACCTAGAACCATGCCTGTCTTAGAGCAGAGGCTCTGTAAATATTTGTTAAATGTGAATTGTATGCCCTATAAAAGATAGTTCGACTTATTCCACAAATATTCCACAAACGCCCAGATGCTGATTACGGGCCACACGCTGGGGATATGGGTATGGAGGGGACCAAGCCCTTGCTTTCAAGAGCCCCCAATATATTTGGGGTGGTGGACAAAGAATGTGACACATACAAGACAGCCTGCCATTGCTCTGATGGGCATGCACGGGGCCTAGTGGAGCCCCAGGAGGACTTCCCGGAGGAAGCTAAAAGGAGAGATGGCTAGGAGAGGGCCAGAGAAACAGGATAAAGAAGGGAGGGGGTGTTTCAGGTAAAGGATACGGCAGATGAGAAACGGTGGGACGGGCAGCACGGTAGTGACAGCAGAGGCCTGTGAGGTCTACAAAGGTCACACCATCAAAGGCCTCAAATGCCAAGTAAAGGAGTTTGGTCTTGACCGTCAGGGCAGTGGGCACCTGCTCATCCCAGGTCCATGCGCCAGCGCAGGTGCCAAGCTGAGACCAGCTGCCGGGGGGCAGCCCCAGGCAGGCCACTCACCTGGTGTGCTGCTGGAGGTGGGAGAGCTGTCGGAAGGACTTATCACAGTAGGAGCAGTGGTAGGGCTTGACGCCCAGGTGGATGCGCAGGTGCTGGGCCAGGTAGGAGGCATTGGCAAAGGACTTGGAGCAGTGCGGGCACTTGTGGGGCTTGGCCTCGGTGTGGGACTTGGAGTGGATCTGCATCTCAGACTTGGTGAAAAAGGTCAGCGGGCACACCTTACACCTGTGGGGCATGAGGCACGTTCACACCTGGGAAGACCCCCACCCTCTGCCCGGAAGCGCAGGGGACCTCCCGCACCGCACAGACCCCGCGCCCAGCATAGAGCTTTCTTGCGAGGAGCCCCGGGGGCACAGGCCCACCGTGGAAGGCCGGGGGCCAGGCTCCCAGCCCGACACCCTCCAATCTGGAGGCCAAGGCTCTTCCACCGGGGGCTCCATTCACAGAAGCAGGGGAGCGCTTTACACTTCCCAGGGGAGAGGGGCCTGGCAATCCTGGGGACGTGTGCCCAGGGCCACAGCCCACAACACTCGGAATAAGAAGTCCTCTTGCCAGCTACACGTCAGAAGCATCTGGGGAGCTTTCAAAAAGGGATGACTGGCCCTCTGCATGTCCCCCGCCTAATAAAGTAAATCAGAATTTCTGGAGGTATGGTCCTGGGATTGGCATTTTCTGAGCGCTCTCTAGATGATCCAAACTTGAGGGCTGAGAATACTGCTTGAAGGGAGGAGGAAAGGACTCCCATGGCCCCAGGCTATGGTGAGCTGGGCCCCCCAGCAGCCCTGCATAAGCATGGGAGGACAGCCCTAGCCCACCTGCGAAGGGGCTGCGGGTGGGGCTTGTCAGGAGAACCCCGCTCCTCGGGACCTGGCACGCACCCTGAGCCCCTGGGGCCCCTCTTTCCAGCCCCAGCTGTTGGGCTCCTAGGGCAGCCCTTGGTGCGGCTCTGGCCCAAGCCCTTGTGGACCCCCTTTCCGCCAAGACCCCCACCTGTATGTCTTGCCCTCCTTGGCAGTCTCGCCCGAGGCCAGGATGGGGTAGGGGACTACGAGGACAGGTGGCCCCCCTGGGTTCTCCGCCTTGATCTTTTTGCGGCCACGCTCGGACTTGGGGGGACCAAGGAGGCCGTGGCCCTGGATTGTCTTGATGGAGTCCAGGAGGGGGGGGCTAGTGATCCCTGAGATGAGGGTGGGGGACGAGGCGATGAGGCGGCTCTGGCTGGTGGTGGTGGGTGTGGACGGGGTGCTGGTACCCGTGCCCGCGCTCGACTCAGACGTGCTCACAGCCGGGGTCCGGGAGGAGAGCCCCAGACCTGCAGAAGACACAGGGCGGGGGAGGCAGCTGCAGAGGCCTTTCCAAGCCTCCTCTTCCCTTCATAAATTACCCAGGGGTGATTACATGAGAGTCTGTGTATGTGTAAGAGGACTGACACACCGAAGGACTAAATTGGGTTGGTAACAGAGGCACTTTGGAAATACTTTAAACCACAGGAAAAAAGCACAAAGATGTTCACTACTGTGTTATTTGCAATAGCAAAAAATTAGAGGAACTGAAATATGCAACATTAGGGAAGGGGTCGATATGTTGTGATCAGTCTTCTCCACTGAACATTAACTGCCCATTAAAAAATTATGTTTGTAAAACAAAACACACACACACACGAAACAAACAAACAAAACCAGCATATGTATGCACAGAAAAAGTAAGTAGGAGAAGGAGATGTACCAAAAGTGATATGGATAGCACAACTGGGAATAATTTTTTTTTTAAGTATTTTGGCCTAACTGTACTTTGATTCTTTGACAATGAACTTTTTAAAAAACTTCTGTAATACAGGGGCGCCTGGCTGGCTCAGTCAGAGGTTTGACTCAGTCAAGTGTTTGACTCTTGATCTCAGGGTGGTGGGTTCTAGCCCCACTTGGGTGTTGAGATTACTTAAAAAAAAATAAAAGCTTTTAAAAAAGGGAAAAGGAGGAGCGCCTGGGTGGCTCAGTCGGTTAAGCGTCTGCCTTCGGCTCAGGTCATGATCTCAGAGTCCCGTGATCAAGCCCCACATTGGGCTCCCTGCTCAGCGGGAAGCCTGCCTCTCCCTCTCCCACTCCCCCTGCTTGTGTTCCCTCTCTCGCTGTGTCTCTCTCTGTCAAATAAATAAATAAAATCTTAAAAAAAAAAAAAGGGAAAAGGAAAAAAAAATAAACTGTTGTAATAAAAGTCATTCTTTTAAAAACGAGGGAACTAGAAACATTTACAGTATCAGGTGAAGCAGACAAAAAGATGAAAATGGTATCTTTCATGTTACTAAAAGGATGCTTCTTTTAAAAAGAAACCAAAAATCTATCCATTGAGAAAGGTAAGCTCCAGAGATGGACAAGTGTTCGTGTCAGCCACTGCTGGTCGGAGTATGCATTTTCACCCTCAATGGAGGGCTGATTGGCAGAAGCCATTAATATGTCAAATATACACAACTTCTTTTTCTTTATGATTTTATTTATTCATTTGAGAGACAGACAGAACATGAGCAGGGGAGAGAGGCAGAAGGAGAAAGCAGACTCCCTGCTGAGTTGGGAGCCCGATGTGGGGTTCAGTCCCAGGACCCTGGAATCAGGACCTGAGCTAAAGGAAGACGCTTAACCATCTGAGCCACCCAGGCGCCCCAAATATACATAACTTCTGACGAAGCAATGTGACTTCTAGAAATTGTCCATAAAAAAATATTTGCACACGAGCACATGAGGACCTTCTATATGACCAGACCGGACACAACCCATTTGTCCTCAGCAGGGGCTGTGTAAAGAGATGTAGCCCATCCTCACTATGAAGGACTGAGCAGGCATGAAAACAAGAAAGATGCTATGCAGTGGTGGAGAACCCCCAAATGTGCTGTCGTCAGGTGAAAAAGCAAATCGTAGACAGTATGAACCCAACTATTTAAAAAAAAAAAACCACACATCTAAGCTTCCTGTGTAGGTAACAGACAATACAGATGTGTGTGTGTTAATGCACAGAAATAGATCTGAGAAGACACACCCAATTAAATTTGTGTATAAACTGTGGTATGCTCTAGGGACGAAGAATTTTCTGGTAAAAGGAGATTTTCATACTTTGTCTATCTGCTTCTATGTTATTTGAATTTTTTACCTGGTGAATTCATCCATTTTTTTTTATATCTGTGATTAAAGGATAAAACAAAATAAATTAAAGAGAAAACATGAAAATGCTAACAGTTGTAGGACTAGGGCAATTTTTTCACTTTTCAGCTTGTCTGCAATTTCTACATTTTCTATAAGGACTATGAATTACCCTTATAATTAAAAAAAGCATTAAATATGCTTATGATAGAATGGTGGGTAGGAAAAGTGAGGTGAAGTCATGGGTATAGCCCCACGACAAGCTCAGCAAAACACACACGCGTATTAAAAAATAAACAAAGAAGATGGAAAAGGAAGGAAATGAACCAAAAGGCTCTCCTAAGCTGCTGGGTTAGGAGCTGGGGATTATGAGTGGGTTTTTCTCCCTGAGTTTCTCTTTTTTCCAAATTTCCCTTAATATGCTTATATTACTTTTTTAATATTACTTCTATAATGAAAAAAATAAATTTAATAAAATCATAATAAGGGGGGATGTGCAGAGTGGGGCTGGGGCCTTGCGGAGGCTCACTGGGTCCCATAATTCCTGGGCGTCTCTGAGAGAATGGGGGAATGAGGAGAGAGGCAGAGGCGCCCAGCTGGAGGCAGGGGTGGAGCCAGGGGAGGAACAAAGGCTCGGCTGCAGTGGCCTCCAGAGAGAGCCTGCCCACCAGGTTCTGAGGTAGACACCAGGCAGCCCCGGCCACATGACACCACCTTAGGATGTCCCCGACACCCCAGTCTCAACCTACCCAAGACTGAGCTCACCTCTTTCCCTACCCTGCGTTTCCTCCTATGATTCCACTTCCACGGCAGTGCCTGGGCTGTTCACTCAGTTCTTCTCCCTCTTCACCCCTGCAGCCAGCCCAGCATCAAGCCCTGTCCATTCCCCTCAACAAGTCTCAGATCTGTCCCCTTCTCTCAGTCCCCACGGCCACTGCCTGATCCAGGCCACCACTCTCTCCTACAGATCTCCCTGCCTCCTTCTCTCCCCCAGCAAGCCAGTCCCCACCTCCCAGCCAGACCCAGCTTTGCAACCCAAATCTGAGCATTCCCCTCCCCCACGTAAAAATCTAACATGGCGGGGCGCCTGGGTGGTTCCGTCGTTAAGCGTCTGCCTTCGGCTCAGGTCATGATCCCAGAGTCCTGGGATCGAGCCCCGCATCGGGCTCCCTGCTCGGCGGGAAGCCTGCTTCTCCCTCTCCCACTCCCCCTGCTTGTGTTCCCTCTCTCGCTGTGTCTCTCTGTCAAATAAATAGGTCTAGAAAAAAAAAATCTTCCATGGCTCCGCACTGCCCGAGGGTAAAGTCCAAACTGCACAGCCTGGCCCACAGGGCCCTTCACATCTGGTCTGCTTCCTCTCTAGAGACCAGCTAGAGCCAAGGGTCATTAACACCCGGGCTCTGGAACCACACTGCCTGTGCAACTCTGACTCAGTTTCCTCATCTGTTAAATGGAGACGTCAGGGTGAGCACGAAACTGTTGTTTCCTAAGTCAAAACCGGCCAACTGTTCAACCTAATAACTAGCAGTGCCCACCGCACAGGGCTGCTGGGAGTAATAAATGAACACTGCTGGCCACACACAGGCGCTCACCTGGAACCAGCTGCCATATTATGAGTGTAATCACCATCATCATCACCATCATCACCATCAGCATTTGCCCCTCCCACCCGGGCGGACCATCCTACTCGTGCTTTCTACACACAGAACCGCTTTGCACATGCTGTCCCCTCTCCCTCTCCACTGCGGTCGTTAACAGCCAACCTCTCCCGGCATAGGGGCCCCTTCGTTCACCCCCAACATGTCTGGTCAGGGCTCTTCTCCCAGCAGGCAGCGCCCCCGCCCAGGTCCCGGCGACTTAGGGGGCGCGGCCCTGGGAGGACCCCGCCCCCTTCGCCCCGCCCCGCCCTCGCCGGCCCCGCCCCCCCGGCCCGCAGTACCTGTGACGGTGCTGGTGGCCGGCCGCGCGTGCAGCGCCACGTCGGGCTGCGGCACGGCCTGCGGGTGCAGCCCCGGCACCTGCTGCAGCTTGGGCAGCGACATGACGGCCTGGCTGCTTTCGGCCGGCGCCGGCGGCACCAGCAGCGGCTGCTGCGACGAGGCCGACGTGGGCGGCAGGTGGGGCGGCCGGATCTTCTCCGCCATCAGCTGCTCCTTGATCTTGTTAATCAGGACCAGGTTGTCCAGCTGCGGGCGGGAGAGGAGAGGCACTGAGGGGGCTGGGGCCGCGTCCGGCCCCTTCCGCGGGCCGCCGGTCCCCCGCAAGCCGGGAGCCCCGAGCCCCGCAGGCCGGGCCCAAGCCCCGGGGCAAAGCGGAGCAGCTCCAAGACGGAGAGGGCGGCCGGAGGGCGACGCTCGGTCTTACCTGGCTGGGCATGGTGGGAGGAGGGGGCCAGAAGTAGGGGTTGTTAAATCGAGGCTCGGCCATCCTGCGGGGAGAAAGCGACTGTCATAGGGACCCTCCCCGGCCGCCTGGGGCGAGCTCCCATCAGCCATGCCCACTCAAGTCTGGCCCAGTGTCTGGAACCCCCACCCCCGTGGGATCCTCACCCTACCGCAGAGCAGGCCCCCTCCCAGGCCCGGGCAACCGCGCCTCCAGGCTGAAAAGTCAGGAATTCAGTGTCTCCCTCCGTGGGCCCCAGAAGGCAAAGGTCAGAGACAGACCAGCTAGCTAGCACTCAGTCCCCCCATCACGCTGACGCGGGCAGACCAATCCCCATCCCCGAGAAGGGCCCAAGGCTGCAGAACCCACCCCATGGACCATGGGTTTCACATAGAAGCCCCCCACCCCCACTCCTGCCAGAGACACACTGGAGAGTCTTGGGGCAACTTTGTAAATGGCCACAGAACAGAGGCAACTGCCCAACCCTGATCCCTGCCCTTCCGACCACCGCCCCCTTGAGGGCAGGCATCTTCATCAGAACAAGGGGGCAGTCTGGGTCATCAGATACAGCCACTATGAAGGGTAATTTGGCACAATGGTTTACAGAGACCCAAATGATTACTGCCCTTTGACCCAAGAAATTGTACCTCTAGAAAGTTGTCTTCAAGAAACAAGCATGGACACGTGCAACATTTTACCTACAAGGATGTGTCAGCACACTGTGCTTAAGGAGGGACTTGGGGAGGCCTGCAGCTAGGGCAGTTTGGGGCTCTTCATTAGAATTATGTGACAATCTACTGGTGGCCCTCATCTCTAGCAAGTTCCATGGCAGGCCTGTGCAATTAGAAGGCCATTCAACAGGGCAGCGTCAAGGATGGGCCTCCAGAGCTATTTTACTCTTCTAGAGGGTTCCAGTCTTCCTGCAACCCGAGAGAGTAAGTCAAGAAGTGACTTACAGGGACCATCCCGAACAGTCTTGCTCTCCATCAAAATTCTATTGATCTCTCTCTTACAGAAATTACTAAATACCTACTAGTATTGTTGCTTAAGTGCAACTGTTTTATTTTGACAGGCAAGGCCAAAGAGAAGTGTCTTCGACCTCTTTTCCTGGTCTGAGAACCCCGATGAGCCCCTAGTGGAACTGCAGGCAGAGGGTTTTAGGAGAAAACTCTCAATACAATCTAATCTCAACACTCTTAATAAAGACTTTTGATATAGATTATCCTTGTAATCTTTACTTGAGAAATAGGCATAGGAGGTATTATTATGCCATTTTATAGGTGAAGAAACTGAGGCTTGGAGAGAGGCGGAGGGACCTGTCCAAGATGACAGGGCTGGGTGCCAGAGTCAAACTAGAAATCGGATTTGCTCAAGCCATTTCCACTGGGGAATTTGCTTTGCAAACCCCAGTACTTGGTTGAGCAAATAACCACATGCAAATGGCTGGATCCCTACACGAAACCACCTTTGCCCTTCATTCCCAGCCTGGGGGCCACTTGGGGTCTGAGCCTGGCCAGGCTGAGGGTCAGAGTAGCCTCCTCTGGGGTGGCTGGGACAGCCCCTGCCCTCTAAGGGCTCGCCTGCTCCCTCTACCCACAGACAGCAGGCTGCCCTTCCCTCACAGCCCGACACTAAGAAACACTTCCTGCCTGGAGTTCTCCCTGACTGTTCCAGATCCCTTTCTCAGAAAGACCTCAACACAATAATGACAGTAAGGAGGCTGCCATTTACCAACTGCCTACCTGGTGCCAGGCACACCGACACTCAAAGCCAGGTTCTCTCATCATCCCCATTTTATAATTGAAACTGAAGGTCAGAGAGGTGGAGTGACTTGGTCAAGGTCACACAGCAAGTAAGCAGAGCTGAGATTCCCGCTCTAATCTGCCTGACTCCAAAGTCCAGCTAATGGGTCTCTTAGCTGTTCAGGGGAAAGACAAGGCATCCTGACTGCAGGCTCGTGAATATGCCCTGTCTTAGGATACAATGGGCACAGCCCCGGGGTCTGGCACCCACTCATCCAGCAGCCTCAGGACCTGTCTGTCCCTCCCAGCTGTTGTCCACCAGGGAAAGCGTGAAGGGAACCCAGGAACTGGATATACCTGTCTTACCCATCTCAGTATCCCCAGCAGCCAGGCCCAGAGGTGACCAACAACATGAGTTGCATGACAGAATGAATAAATGAAGGAATGATAATCAAAATTCAAGACAACCACACACAATTCAACAGTTTGCAAAGCTCTTCTGTCCCCACTGGCATTCTCCTCAGGAAGCAGGGAACAGTTTCATCCCCATTTTGCAGAGGGAAGCCCTTTGCTCCAGGCCACAAGGACGGGGAGACCGAAGGGAGCACCGCACTGCAATTGAGCATTGGCTCTCAGAGACTCAGTTCTCCTCATCTGTGAAATGGGGTGAGAAACAGGCTGCTCTGCGCATTCCTGCCCTGGCCCAGGACTGCCTACTACACCAGCTCTTCCTCGGAGTTCTCGGGGAGCTACCCTCTCCTCCTCCTCTTCAGCTCAATGCCAAGTTCAGGCTTCCCAAAAGCCCACCTTGGGCAGGGAGGTATGGGGAAGAAGGTGGCAGGCCTAGGGTCCCATGGCTGGGATAGAGCATCCTCTCTGCTGCTTGTCAGGCCCCTGGGAGGGCAGGGATGGCCCCTCACCCTGGCTGGACAAACAGGCCCACAGAAGGGAAGGGTCTGCTCTGGGCCACTTAATCTGATCCCCACGGTCTCTGCTTAATTTCTCCACGTCCTTCTCTGGCTGGGCGTAGTAATGTAATGATTCAGTCTGTGCCCCCGGCCCTGGCGTACACCTACTGTGTGTCAAATGCAGGGAAGGCGGGCAGGGGATGACCATTTGCCGAGCTCCTACTGGGTGTCAGGCCCACTGCTAGGTACACTTCAGGACTATCTCAGGGGAGCCTCCCAGCAAGCCTGTGGAGTGGGAATGCCCCTGTGCAACCCTGGGACCTGCACGACGTGGTGGGCCATCGCCAGAGGTGAGTGGGGAGGGTGAGGAGGGGGGGGAGGGTGAGGAGGGTGGGGAGGGCTGGGCTAAGCTGCTCAGACCTTGTCTTAAGGGAGGGGTTTTAAGCAGGAGACTGGGCAGGTGTGTGTTTAGGACAGGTGGACACGGCAGAAGGCCACGGCTTGAGCAGAGGCATGGATGTCTGGAAGCACGAGGCAGGTTCGGGTCCCTGAACCGCTACCTTCAGGCTCCAAAAAGAGAGCCAGAGAGGGGAGGTAGTGAGGGACCAGCCAGGCGGGGGCGTGCTGAATGCCTGCTGAGGGGCTGGGTCGGAATGCTGGTGGGGAGAAGGCGTCAGGAGGCTACAGAGCCAAGGGGACTGAGGTCAGAGGGAGCAGCAGTCTGCGGGGCCGAGCGCAGGGCAGGGATGGGGGCAGGGGCGGAGGAGCCAGGTGGGCTACGGCTGCGTGGTCCTGTGGGGACAGGCAGAGACATGCTGCTGGTTGCGCAGGATGTGCCAGCCCGTCTTCAAGCCCCAGAGAGAAGCCGAGACTGCTATGAGCCGTGAGACACACAGCCCTGACCCTTACAGCGGGGCGAGCACACCGCCATTTTGTTTTTCTTGCTCTGCAAGGTGAAGAAAGTTGCAGAGATGGATGAATGAAACACCTAGCGCTGCTTCTGTAAACAGTGGGCCCATCCACCATCCGCCCATCCAGTCGTTCTGGATACATCCTCTGGGCCACACTGGGCCCAGAGCTGGGGAACCCGAGGCATACGGGGGAGCCCTGCCACCCAGGAGCTCCGAGCTAAGTGGAGGAAGGAGCCATGTGACCTACAAGCTTCTGCAAAAAAAGAACTTTCGCCTGAGACCTGCTACATGCCACCAAGGACCTTCCAGCCTGACCCTTCCTGGCCTCATGCTGCCTGGACCCTCTGTGACGCTCTGTGCCGTGACCCCAGGCTCCTTATCTCAGTGCCTCCCAGAGCTCCCACCCACGGACCACGGTCCTCTGCCCCACCCACCTCATCCCTGGGTGGCCCATCCACTCTAGGACTTTAAATACTGGCCAAGCCCCAAGTCTCCACCCCCAGACCAGGCCTGTCCCCGGAGCTCAGGCCCACCTTCCAGCTACCTCCCTTTTGCTGTCTCGTGGGCTGCTCAGACTCAGCAAGCCTAAACTGGACTGGGTCTTCCCCTAAGATGTGCACCCCCTGGAGCCATTCCTGACTGTGAGCGGGAATCCCCATCTGCCCAGACGCTTCTGCCACAGACACACATGGATCCCCAACACGTCCCCACCCTTCCCTCCCAGCTCTGATCCACCACCAGCCAAATCCCCAGGACTGCGTTTCCAAATTCTCCCTCAAATCCACCCACTCCTCTCCACGAGTCCCAGCTACGATCACCTCACCTGGACCGTGGAACAGCCTGCTTTGTTTAAAGCCCAATGCACCTGGGTTCAAATCTTGGCTCCAACTCACCAGCTGTGTGATCTGGGGCAAATCACTTGCTCCTTCCCCTCTCCCCTCCCCCCCCCCCAGTAAGGGATGAGCAACCCAGAGCCAGGGACCTGACCCAGGATGGAAAAAAGGATCAGGGAGGACTTCCCAGTAGATGTCATACCTGCTTTGGGTCTTAAAGGATGAGTGGGAGTGAGCCAGGCAACAAAGGAGTGGGGAGCATTCCTGGCAGAAGCAGCAGCCTGAGCAAAGGCCCAGAGGTGAGAAGCAACACACCATGTGCGAGGAGCTAAGCGTTCTGGTGTGGACTGGGAAAGGGGACATGAGGCTGGAGCCAGCAGCCAGGGCCTGACCTAGAAAGCTGATGAAATCCTAAGCCTGGGGTCTGGACTTGAAGCAATGGGTGATGGGGCAGAATCTGTGGTTTAGAAAGACCCCTCCAACTGCTGAGTGTGGACGGGACCGGAAAGGCCAGGAGAGGAGGTGGGAGGACACCCATTAGGAGGCCCCTGGAGAATGGGATGGAGGAGAGAGGCAGGGAGGCGCTGAGCTGGGACACGGAGGAGAGTGACCAAGGAGGCCTGGCTATCCTGTTGGAGCTGGAGGCCAAGGAAACATGCAGCTCACCGCCCCCCCCACCACCATGTGGCCCAGGAGGACCTCAGGATCCCCACGCAGACAAACACGGTCACAGGAACATGCAGACAGCACCACACTCGGACACACATGACAGACACAGACCTGTGGTCCCAAACATGGACAGATGGGGACATAGAGCAGGAACCCACAGCCACCAGGACATGGAGTCACAGGTGGGCACTGTCGCAGGAGGGTGAGTGCACATGGCCTCCGGGACAGACCCAGAGGGAAGCAGTGAGGGCACGCAAGAAAGTTGGGATGAACACAATGCCTTAATCCCCCCCAAAGAACAAACCCCTCATTGAAAGATTTCAACCTGGAATCACAGGCTCCTTACCTAGAGTGTCCTTTCCCACTTGGTGAACTTCTACTCATCCTTCAAGACCCAGCTCAAGTGTTCCCTCTTCTACGGAGCTTTCCCTGAACCCCCAGTCAGTCACTTCCTCTGTGTTCCCAACAGCACCTTGTATATGGGAATAACAATAACAATAACAATAACAATAAAATGGCAGCTACCATTGATTTCAACACCTACTACGTGCCAGGCACTGTGCTGAGTATGTCATATGCATCATGTCACTGAGTCTTCCCAATGCCCCTGTGAGATGTGCAATTAACAGAAGAGGAAACTACAGCTCAGAGAGGTTGACCAACTTACCCAAAGTCACACAGCTAGCAAGTAATGGAGTTGGATGCCACCCAGATCTGGTCCAGCACTACAGGGCCGATCACACCCTGGTGTGGCTATCTGTTTCCCTGGGTGACTTCCCCGCCAGACTGTGAGCTCCTCAGAGTTATAACTAGTGCTCGTTCACCCGTTCACCTTTGCCATTCCAGCACCTAGCCCAACATGGTCTCAGAAACTCTCCGTAGAATGAAAAGATACAATAATATCCACTACCTTTTCTTGAGCACTTACAATGGGCCAGGAACTGTGTCGGGATTTTTACAGCCGTTATTTTACTGTTGCAATAGACCCATGAAACACATGAGGAAACTGAGGTCCAGAGAGGTTAAGTGACGTGCCTGAGGTCCCAGAGCCAAGTCTAGATTTGAATCCAGATCTGCCCATGACCCTTTCCCAGGACGATGGCCCCTGAGGCCAGCCTTGTAAGCTCCACAAAGGGCCACTGAGGAAGGTGGCAGGCCCTGGCACCTGGGGAGGTCTAGGTATAGACAAACCGACACAAAGACGACAGGCAGCCCAGGGCGGCATGTGACTAGCCTTGCCCACCGCAGGACAGCAGGGTGCGGTTCGGCAACTCTGTCCCACCCCCATCCCTAGACCATCCCACAGCCATTAAAAACTGAGATTTGCCCAGACCCCGTGGCCGCAGAGGAATGAGCTCCTAACGAAGCAAATGGGAGAGAGCAGGACCCAAAACTGTCCGGACACTATGATTACAAGGAGGCAAAAATAAAAACCTGCGTCAGAAAAAGCAAGCTGCAGGGAACCACACCCAGAGGGAGGGCTGGGAGAGGTGGCTGGAACCGATCTGGTTTTTGTCTTTGTTTCCCTGATTTCGATTCTCTGCAATGCCGTTCAGTTGCCTTTATAATGAAAACAATAAATTTATTCTCAAAGAAAAGACAGAAAATTGTTGGGAGCCCAAGGGCGGAGGGGAAGCAGATGGAGGGTCTCGGAGGCATGGAGGCGCAGGGGGAGGCCGGGGTCAGCTGATGGTGGGCACTCACCTGACTGCTGGCTTGCCAGGCCCCACATGGCCCCCTGTCCTCCAGGTGTGTGTGACCCGGCTAGGCGGCAGGGGATGTCAGCAAGGCGGCAGGGGATGTCCCAGCTACCTGGCAGACGGGACATTCACTGTGCACTTTGGAGCTGTTTGAGGGTGGGGAACCCTCTCCAGCACCTTCTCTGCCCTGGTCCAAGCCCCCGTTGGCTACTGCAAGAGTCCCTTCACTGGTTTCCCCGCCTCTACCAACAGCCCCCATTCCATTCTCCTACTGCAGTTGCCGTGAGATTTCTAAAATACAAAAGCAGATCATAATATTCACCTCCTTAGAACCTTCCATGGCTCCCTACTTCCCTCCAGACAAGGTCTGGACTCCTTGGGCCTTACATATCCGGCCCCCGCTGACCTCTTTGGCCTCAGCGATTGTTCCTGCCTTACACTCTGCCCAGCCAGCCAGAGAGCTCCCCCAGGGTTTCACTTCCTTTTTATTTCCTAACCTTCAGTCAGGCTGCCTCCTCTCCCTGGAACCCTCTGTCCTCCCCGCTTCACTGACTACCCCGAATTATCTTCAAGCGCCAGCTTATGGACCACTTTCCTCCTGAAAGCCCTCCAGGACAGACCCCTTAGGCTGTGTTGGGTGCCTCTCCTCTGTTCCCTTTGTGCCCTGCACGTGTCCATCATCAGAGCACATATCCCCCTATTTTCTGTCTGTTTTCTTGCCCATCTCTGCTGTCAGGCATGCTGTCAGGGCAGAGTCATGGCTGAGTAATTTGTCTTTTAAGGCCTGCACAGTACCTGATAAATGTTTGAATGAATGACTATATAAATGAATGAATGAATGCTCTAGATGGAAGGAACTTAAAGGGTCATGGCCTGGATAGAGGAAAGTCCTCTCCCTCACCCTGGCACCATACTGTCCGCCGGTGTCGCTCTGTTCCCTATTTCCTGTATCTAAACCCTATCTTCCTAAGTGAGCTGAGAAGGGGCTGTGTGTGCTCCGTAAAGATGAGCAGACCAAAAAGGATGTTAGCGGCTAACCAACACAGAAAACGGCTCTGCTTCGCTGGCAGTGAAAATTAAACAAGCTTCACTTCTTAAAACAGCAAAAAGAAAGAAGAAAATGATAATACCCAATGCTGGTGAGGGTAAGATGAAACTGGCACTGCTAGGCATTATTGGTGGGAGTGTAAACTGGAACAAACATTTTTTTTTCTTCAAGATTTTATTTTTAAGTAATCTCTCCACCCAATGTGGAGCTCGAACCCACAGCCCCGAGATCAAGAGTCACACGCTCCACCAACTGAGCCAGCCAGGTGCCCCACAATCATTTCTGAAAACAGTCTGGCAATAATGTGTCAAGAGCCCCCAAAAAATGTTCAGACTTCCTGGCCTAGTGATCCCATTCTTGGTCATCTGTCCCTAGAAAATAACCCGAATATAGACAAAGTTTTATGTACAAAGCTGTTTGCTTCAGTGGTTTGTTTTTTTACAATAATGAAAAACGGAAAGAGCCAAAATTTTAAATAGGAGGATGGCTCTGTAAGTCATGTTCACAGTGACATAGTCTGCAATCATTAATAGCCAATGTTTACTGGCATTGCCCTGACTCATTCAACACTCCTATCAACCTTACCAGGAACTGAGGCACGGACAGATTAGGTAACTCGCCCAAAGCCAAGCATGTACAATGTGAACCCAGAAAGTCAGGCTCCGAAGCCCATGCTTTCCACCTGACACTGGATCTGTTAGAAGGGAGGATTGGGGGGCGCCTGGGTGGCTCAGTCGTTAAGCGTCTGCCTTCAGCTCAGGTCATGATCCCAGGGTCCTGGGATCGAGCCCCACATCGGGCTCTCTGCTCAGCGGGGAGCCTGCTTCTCCCTCTCCCACTCCCCCTGCTTGTGTTCCCTCTCTCGCTGTGTTTCTCTCTGTCAAATAAATAAATAAAATCTTAAAAAAAAGAAGAAGGGAGGATTGGAACCACCCTGAAGTCATGTAGAAAATACTCATGATACAACAGTTGTCAGGCGGATGGGCTGGGGAAGATTTCTTAAATTGTATGTGTAGAGGGGGCAATGACATCTATATAAAAACCAGTTACTGAGAGGAGGGAAGGAAAAACCAGAAGGCTAACAGTGATGGTGCCTCAGGCTTGGGGTGAGGGCAGAAATGGTAGGTTTGAGTTTATCTCTTTTCCCTATTCTCTGACTTTTCTGCAGGGTAGTTACGTGACTTTCTTAAGGCATATTTTTCCTAAAACTAAAGGTTCAGCAAGCTTAGGCCAAGCAAGACAGCCCAACCCCTGCCCACAGCTCCAGTAGGATTCTGGCCTCAGGCCCTGCAGGTTCACTGGGAGGAGAGAAGGGCTCAGAGAGGCAGGGGGCTTGCTCAGTCCCACAATGAGCCCTCCAGCTCCACCCCAGGCCCTAGCCAGGAGCAGAGTCAAGAAGGGGCTCCCCATCCTATGTGGGGGCTTCAGAGGGGAGGACCAGGCCAAAGCCTGCCCAGGTCACTCACGCCTGCTTGAAATCTCTCTTGGGTTCCCATCACTTTTGGGGTACAGTTCCAAATCCCCAGCACAGCACCCAGAGGCCTTTGCCAGTGAGGCTCTGTGGGCCACATGCATCCCAGCAAGTACATCCCCACAGCCTCCCTCCCTCCAGCCTCCCTACACCCCTTGCAGGTCCCCTAAAACAAGTTGTGCTTTCATGCCACCGTGCCTTTGCACAGGCTGTGCCCTTCCGTCTAGGGCCATCACCCCGCTGGAGCCCTGCCAGGTTCCCATCAACCACCAGTCAGCTCGGGTGTCACAGCCCTGGGGAAGCCTCCTTGCTCACCAGCTCTTCCACAGCTGTATTTGTGGCCTCTCCCCTGAACTCCCCCAGCTTCCTGGACCTCCTCCACCACAGCACTGACCCCACTCTGCTAGAATTGCCTGCTTCCTTGTCCACCCAGTCCCCCACATAGCTGTGAGCTCCCCGAGATCAGGGCTTGGGTCTGGTTCTTAGTTATAACCCCACACCCCGACTTGGCCCCACAGCTCACCCGGCTCTTCCTTCAGGTCTCCACTAAAGGGCAGGTTCTAACTCTCTCCCCAGCACGAAGTGGACTGCTCTGTCATCTACCCCCACGGCCCCCTGCTTTCTCTGCCACCTCTCTATCATATCACGCCTCCAGTTACTCCCTCCAGTCATGACCCACAAGCGCAGGGCCACCAATGCGGCCCCAGAGCCAAGTGCTGACCACATAGTAAGTGCTCAGATGCCTAGTTTGCGCCAGGTGCTCAAAAAATATTCACTGAGAGAAGGGCTGTCCCTGAGAGACAGGAGGGATCTGTCCACGTGGGCCTTACAGACTGAGAAGTTTGCCAGGAGAGCCAGAGGGTAGAGGGAGAGCATCCCCAGCAGAGGGGTGGCCTGTGCAAAGACATGGCAAACTGCTAGCTTCCTAGGGTAGCAGAGGGTTCTCAAACATGCTCCCTGCCCCAGGGTGACAACAAGCTGGTGTTGGGGCTCAGCTGAGCTATGGGGTAGGGGTGTTCCTGGGAAGATGAGCTCATCCCACTGAGGGGTGCACAAAGATTTCATGAAGGTGGGACTTACTAATGGGGGAAAGCGGAGAGGTCAAGAGATGCCAGGGAAGGGCAGGCCAGGCAGTAAAAAGTTCATGTGCAAAGGCCCAGTGGCAGGAAAGCACAAAGCATCACGTTTGGTCTGGTGTGGGTATAGTGCGGGAATTTGCAGAGGACGGAGGGAAAGGCGGTGGGGCAGTTCACAAAGGGCCAGAGTTCCAGGCTAAGGTGCTTGAATAAAAGGCCATGGGGGGCCATGGAAAGTCTCTGAGCAGGGGAAGGCCAGTCAAGGTTTTCAGTGGACAGGTCAAATGTGGTCAGAGGGATGTGCCTGGAAGTGACAGGCAGGAGATGGTCCAGGGGGAGAAGCTGAGGTTTCCCGTCTTCCCAGCTTGAGATCCCCACGTGCTCCAAGTCTGCCTCTCATTCCCTCTGCCCTCCATGTGTCCCTACTCCATGCGGCCCAGAGTGCCGAGCCCCAGCTGCTGGGCCCCACCCCATCCCCAAGACCAGGCCAGCCTCGGGAGCTTGCTCCTGGGAACTTCCTGTGAGGACCGAGGCTCCCGATGGTCCTGGATCCAATTAGGCTGGGTTTCCGCAGCCCCGCGGGGTTGGAAGGGCAGTTCTCATTGCGAGGGAGGGACTGATCGGAGAGAGCAGGGCTGCTATCTGTGCCCTGGTCAGTGGGAGCTGGGATGCTGCCCTTCCCCCTCTCTGTCCCTCCCTTTCCCCAGCACCAGCCACCCAGAAACACCACCCTCTCCGGGAGCCACAGGGCCCTCATTTAGAGAATGGGCCAGATTACCCTTCTCAGGCTGAGAGAATGTTCTGCAGGCTTTGAACACATGCCCTTCTCTACTTCCATCTCCTCTGGAGACCCCCAGCTCCCATCCTCACAGGGAAGTCCTTCTACCAGTGCGAAAGGACAAGAAGAAGAGGAACAGAGTACTTGGTCCATGCCAGGCACTGTTAGATACCTGACAAGCATTTCTCCCAGGCTCCTAATGACCCTGTGAGGTAGATCCTGTGAGCATTTCAAAATACAGCACACATTTGGAAAGAGGCTAAGAACATAAACAAACAGCTAATGACTTATGAAACACACATCCAGGCACCCAAGAAGCCCTTACCCCATGCCTCTTCTCCCAACCCCTAATGTCCCACCCTCCTGGCTTCTACCCTAATCTCTTCCTTGTTTGGAGTCAGGAATGAGGTTCAAGCCCAGTCACGGCACCTGGTGAGGGCAGAGGGAGCTCGAACCCACCGCCACCAGCTTGCTGTGTGAACTCTAGCAAGTCCATTTCCTCTCTGGGCTATAGCTCCCTCCTCTATACTTTTTTTTAAAGACAGGCTCCACGCCCAGCATGGAGCCCAAGGCGGGGCTTGAACTCAGGACCCTGAGATCAAGACCTGAGCTGAGACCAAGAGCCGGATGTTTAACCGACTGAGCCACCCGGGTGCCCCGCTCCTTCCCCTATAAAACAGTTGCAACTAGGGCGCCTGGGTGGCTCAGTGGGTTAATCGTCTGCCTTCGGCTCAGGTCATGATCCCAGGGTCCTGGGATCGAGCCCCACAATGGGCTCCCCTGAGCAGGGAGTCTGCTTCTCCCTCTCCCTCTGCCGCTCCCCTTGCTTGTGCTCACGTTCTTTCTGTCAAATAAATAAATAAAATCTTAGAAAAAAAAAAAAAAACAACCAGAAACAAAGAATAGTTGCAGCTAAATCACAGCCTGGGTTCCTGGACCCTCTGAGGGACAAAGTGGCAAATCAGGGGTTAAAAAGTACAGTTTCTGTACCAGATACCAGGGTCAAAGCCCCAGCTCAGGCCCTTGGGATTGTTACCCAACTGAGGACAACAGTGTCCCCACAGCACTGTCGTTTGGATTAAATGAGTCAAGTCTTGAGAAGAGTGCCCAGTGCAGTAAACTCTGTAAGCCTTAGCTGTTGTTGTTCTGTTAGTAGGTTCTCTCAGGCATAAGGCAGCCCTTCCCAACATTCCAAAGACCCACATGGCAATCTGACCAACCAGGGAGGTTAACTGGGCTGGGGGTGGGGGGATGCAGTAGCCCCGGGAGGCATTCAGGACCCACAGGGGCTGCTCCACTGTGGGCTGGAGAGCCGAGTCTGGGATTAACTCCAAAAGGGAGAGCCGACTGCCGAACCCCGGCTCTGGCCTGGCCCCCAGGAGCTTTCTAGATGGGTCCTAGAGGTCTGGGGCTGGGAACCCCTGGCAGGTGGTCACAGTCTGTTCTTGTGCTGTGTGTACCTCAGGACCCCCAGGGGCAGGCAGCCTGTGGGGCAGGTCAGAAGAGCTGAGGCCCGGGGTGGAGGCCGGCAGACAGAGTGGGCCCTGAACAGGGCAAGTCAGCAAAGGGAGGGTTGGGCTGGTCAGAGAGAGGAGTGGGGAGGGCCTGGGGTGGACATGTGGGAGGGGTGAAAACAGGCCACAGAGGACCCACCACCGGCCCTGCCCGACCAGGCCTGCCTTCCCCTCCCCCTCCCCCCGGTCTTGGGGCTATCACCTTCTCCATGTTCCCTGATTTGCCGCCTCACAGCCTTTGCCCGGGCCGTACCCTCTGCCCAGAATGCCCTTCACCTGGAAAACGTCA